AACACCTCACCCAGTTATTTTGAGAATTGAATGAAAAATGTTCACGGGAGAAAAGTGCACGGTATTTGACACACAGTAAGAAAGGAATACGTTTCAGCTTTTTTCCTCTTTGTCATTTCCATAATAGGACAACTCTGGAAAACTGTAAATACTTTTTTTTTAATGTGTTCTCCTAGAGTTTAAGGAATGATATTCCCATCAACAACCTCAGCAGAAAAACAGCTATCAGCTGCATCGTTGGCAAAGTACCTCTTGATGCTTATCTAGAGCTATGTGAGAAAATACCAAAGGCCTGAAAGCAGCCAAAATATCAGGGAGGAGCAGCTTCTGGGGCTGTGGAGATGTCTGTCCAGACCACCCAGAAAGAGACCCTCTTTGTGGAAAGGGCTGAGTGAGCACTCTGTTCTTGCAGACTTGGGCAAAGGTGGAGCTTAGATCAGAAGAGAGAACACTTATTCTGTCTTAGTGAGTTCCTAGGTTCCTAGAAACTCTCCATGGAGGATCTCTACAGCTATGAGGGACTCTGAACTGTAACTTGGCCCTCAGACTCTTAAGAGCAAGAGGAGCAAAAGCTTAGAAAGTGGAGTTGCAGATTAATGTCAGTGACTGTTTTCAGAGCTATGAGCTCTCCAGCAAATAGCTTAAGTTATGCTTTATGTATCCAATATAGTGTATTCTATGATAAAATCTTTTACAAATTCATTTTAATAGCTTTCACTTATAATTAAAATTTAGATGGAATTGATATCTTGGAAAAAGTAGGTTTTTAAAAGGTAAGACTCTGGAATATTTCTCTTTGAATATAATTTAATGTTAAGTATAAGAAAAAAAATCCCAGTCTTAAAAAATACCTTTTAACTAAATGCTACTTTTTATATTCATGTACCTGAAATGATTCCAACACAGTCCATACACCTGTAGTCTGTCTAGTGTAGCAGCAGATTATTTAAGCTAGTTTAGAAGTAGGAGGGTGTTCATACGATTATCTACCACCCCTGTATTATAAAGTCTGGGCACTTAATTATTTGGAATATTTGCTGTATATGTGTAATGATAAGCAAGTCCTATGGAGCCAATTATTGCCTCCACTTACGTTTTCCTCAATCTCATGAAGAAGATCATCAACCTGATTCTTAGCAAGTGTGACAATTTTGAGGTAGTTACAATGAACATAGTAAATTTCCTAATTTGAAAGTGCTTCCTTGTGATAAAAGGACAATGGTTAAGAAATGTGACTTCAAGAAAGACTCCTCATAAAAGCAACTTAGAACATGAGTATATTTCAACTAAAATCTTTACTGATCAGAATGATAAGAAAGATTTCCTAAGTATCTTCCTGTGTGGCATACACTCTAATTAGAAAGATAAGTCATGCATATTTTGATAAGAAGGCAAAAGAATTACATTTATTGATCGCCTGCTATATTCTAGGCTATAGTAGTACAATTGTATAATTTAATCTGCAGAGGTCTTAGGAGGTGGTTGTTAAAAATCTGAATTTATAGGGGAGGAAACTGAGATCAAATAGGTCACAGAGCCAGTGAACTGCAATCCTGGGATTTGAAGCTGAGTCCATCTAACTTCAAAACCAGTTCTCTGAAAAAATCCTATTCATGGCAGCATATGACTGTGTAGAATGTACTATCACATCACATATCCAGCATCACCAAAGAACAGGATGTTCTATACAATATGAGGTATTCAGTACAGTTGAATCCTACTACCAATGCCAATTTGTTTGACATTTGAATCTGATTTCAAGTGGGAAACCAGAAGTTTATGTTTGTGAAAATTGTCTATTAATATTATTCTGAGTGAGAACTTAATATAGATTCAGTAAATTTTATTAACTGCTATTTCTACCTTAGTCCTGGATAGTTGGTGTTGCTGGATAAGTTTCAAACTACTATAGAGTTGTTGAGGAAATTAAAAAAAAGAGGAATTGGTTTTCTACGAGTAGAACTAGTTTGATTCATAGAGGCTGCTCAAACTTTGAGCTGGTTCCTATTTTTAGGAGTGAAGAGGAGAGATTTTCAAATCCTTTACTGGTCCAATAAATATTTTATTTACAAAATACCTGAAATTGCAAATGTGCAGGTAGTAGGGAGGGCAAACAATAACACTGAAACAAAATGGGAAAGAGCATGTAAAATGTAATGCTCATCCTTGTTCCATCATGTATCTCCATTGCTTCTGATTTTATTCTCCCAAAAATTGTGTTCTGAGGTTTTTAGCAACAAACATCACAAACACTCATAAAGCTGTGCAGCTCTGTTAAAGCCAGGCCTAGTGCTTGGTTCAGTGGCCTTTCAAAGCAAAATTCTAGACACTGTCAACACATACTAGGTAAAGCAGTATTTCCTTTCACTCATTCTAAATTTACCTCCTGTTAATTTCATTGCACCTCTCTTCCCCATTGTCAAGCAAAAAAAGAACATCCAGATTTCATAAAAATAATTTAGGCCATTTAAATCAATACAGTCTAGATTTTTCTCTTTTCTTTGCCAGGGTACCTTGGAGTTTAATGATCTCTTTTAGTAATTACTCTTCTCTGGTATTAGCTGACAGTTGGGCTTGTTACTACCTGTATTGCAATTGACACGCCACTATTCCAGGGAGCACAGCAAATTTAACATGAAGACTATGAGACTAACTGACATCATGAAGTTCTTAAAGAAAGGGCTAATGTGTGTTTATCTCCACATGTATATGTCCACAATGTCAAACACCACATCTCCCTTGTGGTAGGGCAAGGTGGGGAGCTGAAATTTAATACATATCTACGTAAGTCTGACCCCACCTATATGCCATTGGACATGTCTCTACAATGATCGTACCTTAATATCCTCATTTCTGTTGATCGGGAAATTGAATGAGTTGCCTAAGGTCAAGAGCCTAGTAAATAGCAGAACTGAGATTTGAATTCATGTCTGTCTGACTTTTTATTTCACCATGTGATTTCCCAACCACACGTGGTACCCAGTAATATTTGTGGAATTTGCATGGGGTTATCACCTCTCTAGTCCATCTAGCCTCAAGAGGGAAAAGCCTGCAGCCCAGTAAAGTTATAATCCACAATGACCTAAAGGCCAATTGGAATGCCACACAGCATGGTCAATCACTTAGTGTAGAATATGTAATTAAGAGGCAAAAATTAAGGGACATACAGAACCAGACGTTGTTAATAGTAATGAATCTGTGAGGGCTGAGTCTCTACTTTCATTTTCATTATCACTGTAGAAAAATAGTAAATAAAGGCAGGGGGTAGGATGGCGGTATAAATGGCAGAAAGAAGAGAATTAGGGGAGATAATCTGTGGATTTGTTTACTACTAAAGTGCCCTTCAAAGGCAGCTTTTCCTGATTGGCATTTTTAACAATTACCCTTATTATAACATTACCCTTTCATTACAATCATATTTATATTTTTTATAATTCTGTGGTATTATCTGTTTAAAGAATTTTAGAGCATTAATGTTCAATATCACCTAAGTCTTCCAATAGAGAAGCTCTATGTCCCTGCCTGAACATTCTCCGGGAATTTTCTATTGATGAAAAAAATATAAAAGCTTACCTTTGTATCAGTTAAAAATATGCATTCCTACACTTTCTTGAAATTATTCTGTAAGCATGTCTGGAAGAACTATGTAGCAACATACATTCCTAGGCTAGTTCTCTGAATACTAGAAAAATCCTCAATGTTTATCACATTTCTGTATGAGAGATCTGGCTATACATGTTATCACAGAGCTAATGTCATATTTGTGTCATTAGACATATGCACACAGTTTTGGTACTTTTTTTGATAATTTTTCATTTTTAAAAATCTAAAATAAATATGCATTTCAGAAAAAAATTATGTAACCTTTTAAACAACTATCATTTAATTAAAATGGGGCCCAGTCATATTAGAGTAATTCCTTACCTGTCCCAGTATAGGAGAAATGAGTGAGGTGTTCATTTAGGCCTGAATATCCCCTTCAGTGACTGCAACCCCAGATTTCCATGTCACCTCTTATCCACCCAGGCCCAGTGCATCATAAGAGAGCCATTTTCCAACTTTTCTGTGCTTAAGAGTCACATGGGGTGCTGTTTAAAAAGCCCGGTGACTAGTCAAAGGGCCACAAAATCCCATAGCTGTTTATCCTGTGATATATTTAGACTTCTCTCTCACAGACCTTAATCTTATCATCTGTACAAAACCATCAACTATCACTACTAACTTAAACATAAGTTCCTCAGAGAGCTTAGCAATCACTTGTTTTAACTCCAAATTGTATAGATCTATGTGATAATTTATGGTTATACCACTACTTAGTGGCTGGGTAGAAATGTAGGCAGATCTTTTGATTCTTTCCAGAATAGTAGTTTCTCTAGCATGAACTGGACTGTTATTTTTAGGTTTAGCTATCTGGTATTTGACATCATCCATTAGTATGAAGCAAAAATTCTTCAAAGAAAGTTGCAAATGGAATTCCACTCTGAGCTTTAATTATAGAGAAAAAAATAATACTTCATAAGGGTAATATATTAAATAGTGATTGCAAAATCAGCTATTTGTGAGACAGTGCTAGGCATTCTGAGATACATGAAGATGAGTAACACATAGTTCTTGCCATACTGGAGCTTACAACCTGGGGGTAAGTTGTTAATCACTCTGGCCAGGATGATTGGGACATTTCACTGAATGGGAAATCGTAGTGTATCAGGTCATAATATTCTACAACACACTGAAGTGCTTCATACTTAGCTCTACAAAAGTTGAAACTCCATTAATGCTAACTGGCATAGCACATGGGGAAAAAAATCTCTCAATGTGCTGAATTGATGTACTTAAAATTGATATTTAGAGGTCATGGTTGTTTGATATGAGTGGAAGGAAATAATTTGTAGCTGCTGTTATTATGATAAAAACATGAAATTATCTAAAGCCTCCTATAATTTTCTAGCTAGTTCTTGAGCACATTTATTAATTACAACATAAAAGAAAGGTTTCCTTACTTGTGGTCTCACCATTCATTTCTTTAAGTTCACTGTTAATTCCAACATCTATGGAATTCATTATTTTGTCAATCTGTGAGAAACAAAAGCCATATAAATAAATTATTAATTCACTTTTAGCATTGCATTTTAAAATAATTTTCAAATGCCAGAATCATATATTCTTGATATTACTACTGCAATTCCACAATTAAGAGACTGACTGAGAAAAGTTTAAAAGGAAGCAGACATCTTTTGAATTGCTTTTAAAAATATGAATTATGTTTCCCTTTCTTAAATGTTCAAAATCAGATCTCCTTTTCTTTATATTTCTTAAAATGAACTTTGTTTGGACCTACACGGGTCAGTAAGTTAGGAATTGTGTATTCTTTAAACTCAGAAAGGGATGGGCTGAGGATAAATTCATGTGAACATGTCCATTCTCAGGCATTCTTCCTGTTCTAAGAGCATGCATCTCTCTGACTGGGGAAGGGGTGGGTTTCAGTCTGTGGGTGTGGCCATTGGAACCTAGTTCTTACTAAATGGCTTGACTAGCCACAAGCTGATTTGTGACATGTAATCGCAAGAATCCAGGCATGGGGAAACACCTTAATTCTAAGAGATAGGCTAAATGTTAATTAATCCTGCTGCATTCCAAAAAGATTTCAGATGTTATTCACAGAGTTAATAAATATAAGAAATGGAGAGATTTGAATAGACTATCAATCTAGTAGTACAGTATTTATAGGAAGATATGACTATCTAAGCTTTAGCCATTTATGGTTTAATCCCCTCTTCATCATCCTAGCAACCTGAGTAAGACAGCAGGTTTCAGAGAGGACAATAAGCATTACTTAAATGTCCCATTTTGCTCACCCTGAAACAGATGCAGAGAGATTAAGTGATTTTCCCAAATAGCTCAATTCAGAATGTCAATATCAGACATTTCTAGTTCTCAGAATACTATAGTGACCTATTGTGCTTCAAAATCCAATCCATCTGGCACAGTTTTTTGAGGGAGAAAATGTGACATGTTAGAATGAAATGCTAAGGGAGAGTGTGGTCCATTTTTTTGAAGAAATTCAAGAAAAGGCAAGGAACTTAATTATTTTATGACGTAGTCCTCCTTGGGAACAAAGGATGATATTTCATAACCTTGCAAGGGCACTTACTTTCTAACTAATTCTATAAAATGAAAGACTTTGTCTTTAATTAGAACTTAAATTGGTGATACACGACCTCAACATATTTTTCTTTAATGTCACTCTGATAATTGTAAAAGGGAAATATTAAGTAATTTGGGTTTATTGTATGGCACTTGGAGAAGAGCCAGGACTATTTCTTTCTTTCTTTCTTTTTCTTCTTTCTTTCTTTCTTTCTTTCTTTCTTTCTTCCTTTCTTCTTTCCTTCCTTCCTTCCTTCCTTCCTTCTTCCCTTCCTTCCTTCCTTCTTTTTTTTTTTAGAGAGAGAGAACATGAGTGGTGGGTGAGGGGCAGAGAGAGAAAATCTTAAGCAGGCTCCATGCCCAGCGCAGAGCGTGACATGGGGCACAATCTCACAACCCTGAGATCATGACCTGAGCCAAAATCAAGAGTTGGATGTTTAAACAACTGAGCTACCTAGGCACCCCAAGCCAGGACTATTCTGTTTACCATTAAGGTTAAGATTATAAGGAGCTTTTCTGAAAATATAAGATACTTTAAAGGGGGGACGAGCTAACAAAGAATTTAGCAACTAGCAGAATGATACAGAGCTGCAGGAATACAAAGATTTTTTCTCAATTTGTCAGCTGCAATGCTTGGTAGGACATAATGTGAACATTCTCTTGTACCTCATAGCTAGTTATTACTTCTGCTTGATATCAATTTCTATGGAAACAATAGATTTCTCCACATGTGTGGAATTGTGTTTGTTTTTACACTAGCTGCGAAATTATCGTGTATTACCCCTAGAATCTTGCCCTTCTACTTGAAACTGTATGTGTCTGTTATTTTTTTGTTTTTGTTTTTGTTTTTTGCCTCTGAAAGACTTAAAAAACTGAAAACTATTCCCCCAAACTTCCCTTGCTCCAAAGTCTTATATAAAGAACAAGAAGAACAAGTCTTACTTCTTCCCATTCAGAAGTGAAGGATGGTGTTCTTTCAGAATTCCTTTTAGAAGTATGTTCGGCAGTAGAAGATTCACTCCAGTTAACTCTTGATGTTTTCTCATTTGAAGGGTATGCAATGAGATCAGAATCCGATTTAGAGACATTTTTTGATAAATGCATATCAATCAGGGCTTTTGGCAATGACCTTATTCGCCCCAAGGTACAGGCTCTCTCCACAAATCCTCCTGTGTTCATAATCCACTGGTCCCCATTCCGGGATCCACTCCTAGTTGTTCTTGTGCCAACAATGGTATGGTTTTCAAGTTGGTTGCTTTTTTTGTGAAAAATTGTTCGACTGACCACTTTGGGTTTAATTTTCTTTACCGAAGCTTCTGAGTTATTTGCTATTGGAGACTTCTTGAAAGGCAAAGGACTATTTGCCAAACTGACTTCATCTTGTCCTTCTTCACATTCATCTCTTTTCCCATAGAGATGAAATGGATTTTCAGGGGACTCACAGGCTGGAGAGGATCCATGGAGAAGGCCTGCGAATTGCCCAGGATCATATTCTTTTGGAGGATCGCTGTCCTCCTGTTGAGAAGGGTCATCTGCAAAAGAGAGGAAGAACATCAGGATGGTTGTTTATAAGGACTCCAAAAGATGATACAATAGCAGTGCCTTTTCAAACTTGTGCAATACCCAGACATTTTATTTGTTGGTACAATGATATCCTCACTTTATGAAACACTCATGACCCTATAGTACCATGTATAAAATGAATTTGTGTGTGTGTGTGTGTGTGTGTGTGTATGAACCACATCTTCCTGACATACCTTAGGGTGCATTTCAAAGATACGAACTGAGTACTAATTGAGTAATTTTATATTGTTCTTCCTTGTCCCCTGAGCATATACTTTATATTGAATAACAAAACTGGGTTTTCTTAAAGTGAAACACCCATGTCCAAACCCTCACAATAAATGAATCATTGTGCAGAAGGACATCAGGCAGGTGAATCAAGATCATACATAATGACATCCCTTTGCCCTTCTCCCAGAAATTAAATTCAGAAACAAAATCTTTGAAAGAAGTATAATTAGAAGTAATTTAAGGTTTAAATTAAGAAGTAATTTAATAATACTGAGAATATTACTTTAAATATAAAATATAAAATTAAGAATAATTCTATAAGTTATATAATTTAGACAAAAAGTATTTGTTCAGGCTTAACATAGGCAAACAATGCAATCCATAATATCACTAAAAAGTGAGATTCTTTTACAAGAAACTCATGTTGAGCTATTAACACAAAGCTATATTTTTCTTTCTTTTTTTTTTTAAGATTATTTATTTATTTATTTGACAGAGAGAGAGAGACAGCAAGAGAGGGAACACAAGCAGGGGGAGTGGGAGATGGAGAAGCAGGCCCTCCACTGAGCAGGGAGCCCGATGCAGGGCTCCATCCCAGCACTCTGGGATCATCAACTGAGCTGAAGGCAGACGCTTAATGACTGAGCCACCCAGCCGTCCCTATCTTTTTCTTTCTTCTCTGAAATAGCATGTTATTTTTAATTTCTTCAGATCTTTGAAAGTGTAATGCAGAAAAGAAAAAAGAAATATTTATTGCTTTGTAATTTTTTCTAGATAACACACAAATGTTTTAAGATAAAACATAAATGTTCCTGGGACTTAAAATATACCATGCATTTTTATGACCTAATTTGTCTTTTAAATATATACTGTAAAACCCTGGCCAAAGAACTTAGCAAAGGAAGTCAGTATATTTTTTTGATTGGTCATTTTAGTTCATATAGCTGAATATTTGCCACAATCAAAAGTTAAATTCCCTGATAAACTCATAACCCAATCTTGTGAGTCAAAAATAGCCAATGTGGTGGATAATAACAAATCCAAAGTTGACTTGCTGACTTGCATTTTAAGTACATTAGTTATTACCATAAACTCCAAACACCAAAGTTTTCATAAATTAACAAGTAACATTTAACAGGTATGTGCTATTTAATAGGCACTGAATTAGGGGTTATATTTACATTTGATCTGCATAACAGTCCTGTGAAATGAATGATTAATAATAATTATGATTATCTGATAGAGATATAGCCAGAATATTGCATTCACATATTTAAACAAATTGGCAACCATAGTAAGTCTCAATAGGTCCTTGCCCAGAGGATGCTACAGACAAACCAATTTTCTTTATTACAGTTTGGTCCCAAGTCCCTACACATTCTCTCCCTAGTTGCTGATTGAGGCAGGTTTGTTCCTGACCTTGCATGTCCCCATACCTAACCCTGGTTCCTGTTTGGCTTTCCAAGTAGAAGGTGTCCCCCTGCTCTGACCTTGTCACAATGATATCCTGAGATGGAAGAGAGAAGAGTGCTAGGAAGAGAGGTCCAAAAGACAACAATCTAAAGGAGGAGCACTCTGTGCCCACCCAGTACTATAATAATCTCTCTGTCTGCCCGCAAAAACTGCATCCCTTTCCGATGCAGCAAAACTATGTCCTTGACAATAACTCCTTTAGTCCTTCCGTCAAGACAGAGACCCTCCCTGGGGTAGAATAGTGAGTGGAGAGTGAGTGAAGACAGCTCCAAACTCTCTTGAAAGCTAGAGTTTATGGCCTATTATATCCATTTTTTGGAAGTAAAAATGAACACTTAAACAAGTTACTGAAGTTTCCCTAGCTAGTAAAAGGTTAAGCTGAGATTCAAACTAAGATCTATCAGATTCCCATATCTACTGGCCTGGAAAATATATTACTATTTAGATAAAAGAACAATCTAGGGTTCAAAGGCAAGCAAGTAGACTCTTTGTGGGAAGGGACATGTTTCTCCTGTTTATGATTATTCCTGGAATTTGGGATAAGTGAACTAAAAAAGTTTTTTTTTCACTTTCATGGAAGCAAGATAATACCAAAAGGAAATAAAACTTGGCATTCTGTTCCAATGTATTTTCTCTTTTTTCTTCCTATGCTACTTGGGTCCATAGTGCTTTACAATGTAACAGGTTGGTATGGATGACAGTAATGGGTAAGTAATGTAAAAGGAAGGAGGAACTCAGAAATAAGGAAGTTTAGAATTTTATTTTGGAAGTTGCTAAAGAAGGCCAAAGTGTTTGATTATGAAAAGAAAATTGACAATAATCAGCCTATTGTGGGAAAAAGATTCTGTAAATCTCAGTCAAGAGGTTTTTGACCATAATCATGATAAATGAGAGTTTTAGGGGCATAATTTTATCTAAAGTTTTCTGTGAATATTATTATTAGGTTATCATCCCCTCTGTGGTTTTACCAAAATGACTATAATCACCTCAAAATGCTTTATATTGTCCAAGTCCTCTAGTGATAAGCAATCACTTCCCTAAGTAAAAGAAAATTTAGGTATTAGCATATAAGCGTTGTCTTTTGAATAATAGCTCTTAGCATCATGATAGTTGGTAACATTTTTGTTAAGAGTTGTCAAAAGGCAACTACTACTTGCTTATTTCAATGGCCAAACTCTAAAGATTACTCAAATCAAAGAGAATAAGAAGTCGATATAAAAGCTCCCGAAATGCTAATTTGGTGGATTGATGGCAGGTATGGCCCCACTATGCAACAGCTCCATGTAGCCATACCCTACTCTGTATCCATTCCTCCCATATGACTCGGGATGATCGTGTGCCTTCCTTTGGCCAATGGGACAATAGCCAACACAACAGAGCAGAGACTTGAAAGGCATTTATGCACTGGGGCTTGCTCTCTGGCTGCTCTTGCAAGCTTGTTGCCAAGTGAACAAGCCCATACTTGCCTGAGAGATGATGAAATACATTACCCAGCTGTTTGAAATTATAGGTTTTATTGTTTTCCAAGTATGATGAGGCTAACAGATCTGGAGACAATTGCCATCGAAAAGATAAACTGTTACAGATTCCAAGAGGAGGGAGGATGCCATGCCCTGGGGTGGGGGACATGGGGAAACACCAAAGTTAGTTAGGAGGCAGAATGAGTGAGGGAAAAGGTGGGCCAGAGCCTTTATTGTGATTTCTCTATGAAGGAATGGGTGAAACAGGATAATCAGGTTTAGGATAGGCTAGTTTGGATCATTTCAGCAGCTTCTAGAGCATAGGGATTATCCCTAGTTGTTTGATACCAGGCCCTGGTGTGATTAGGCCAGATGAAAAGTGGCCCAGAGTGTGGTTGGGGTATGGCTCTGGATTGGTTGGTTTGCATATGAAAGGCATGTTTACTATCTCTAAGATTTAGCTAGCCCTGGGAGGGGCAGTTCCTCCAGGGTCAAAAAGGTCCCAAGATGTTAAAGAATCAAAAAAACAAAACAAAACAAAACAAACCTAAAGTAAAAAGGCATGGTTGATAGCCCAGCCATCTCTGTCACCTTAGACACTTTCTGACATTTGAGTGAGGTCATCCATGACCTACCAATCCCAGGCCAATATGCCAACTGACCACCCATGAATGAAAAAACCTAGCCAAGATTAGCTGAGGCTGGCCCAGACCAGAAGAAAACACTCACCAGAATCATGAGCTATATGAATGGCTATTATTTTAAGCCATTAAGTTTTGGAGTGGTTGATATACCATGATAGATAAATGATTCAGCCTGTACCCCAGTTTTCAAAGAAGAATTAATACATTGTTCAAAATACATTCTGGCAATGTTTATATTTTCACTTCTGCAAACAAAGATAGTAATAGTATACACCTATAAGTGTTGTGAAGACTTAATAATAGAAGTAAAGCAGAACAATGCCAGTGGCATAGAACACATTAAATATGTTTCTGCTATTACAACAATTTTTAATCTAAAGGATTTCATTTTTACACATAAATGTAGTAGTGATTGTATTAGATATTCAATAAAGACTGTTATTTTGACACAGCAAATACATGTAATTTACTCCTTTGTTTCTGCTTATATATTTTAAAAATATACTTTGGAAAGAATTTTTGCATTTTCTTACTATTTTTTTATACGTAACTGAGGTAAAGTATATAGATTAAACTGTTCTCACTATTTGTCTCATTTAATTTCACACTTCTCTTTTGATAAGTGGATTTTTCATGCCAAGGTACAGAACTAAATATGTGTGAATTCCAATCTGATAGTTACTCAAAGCATCATTGGCATTTCAAAGAAATGTCAGACAAAGTATCCAATAATAAGCATTTCAATCTCTTTTTACCCATCTTTGCCCCTGATCTTTATCATATAAATACCTGAATAACAATGAAACCCCAAATTTTATGTCAAGATAAAAACAAATTATGGAAAATGAATGATTTCTTCTTGTATTATAAATCATAACTTTTGTCTACTGGGTCATTTTATTCCTTTTTAGAAAATAAAAAATTTCTCTATTTCCAGGGATTTGAGCACTGATATTGATATTAGTAGAAATTCTGTGGTGTTGGTTGTTATTTTTCCTCTCTCATTTGTGATCTTATTTATTTGGGTCTTTTTCTTTTTGATAAGTCAGGCTGGAGATTTATCAATTTTATTAATTTTTTCAAAGAACCAGCTCCTGGTTTCATTGATCTATTTTTTTTTTTAGTTTCTATACCATTTATTTCTACTCTAATCTTTATTAT